AGACCAGGGGGACGGGGGGACAAAGCAGAGCAAAGCAGAGCCAAGCCGCGGAGCGCATGGGCAGCGGACAGCCCTGTCCGCTGCCCGCGTGTTGCGCCGCTTTGCTTCCTCTCCCTGGTCTGCTGGAGACCAGGGAGAGGAAGGGCCCCGTTCGTAACTGCGGATCCGACAGAAGTCGGATCCGTGTAACTCGGGGACTGCCTGTATACATATTTGCTAGCATTTAAGAAATAGAGCAATAGCCATTGTAACCATATGCTTTTATAAGTCTTTTTAATAAACCTGTAACTGTTTAAGTTTTTAACCTGACTCCTCCAGTTGCTGTAATAGAACCAAGCACAATTTAAAAGAACTTCAGCCGGTCATAAAGGGACAGACATAGGGAGAGCTTGGGCGTTTGGATCTGTGTCACTCCCAGGTGACAAGATCCGTTGGGGCACCTTTTCAGCCTTTCCTAGGCTGCCCGCTGCGAAGGAACCCCTGTGTTCTAGCAGCTAAAATCTAAGGTGTAATAAGCTCTTCCTATATAACGGGGCGTCTGTTGGCCTGCTGGCCACCCTCTGCGACGGGACCCCGGTCCTAGCAGTAAAGACACGGACGTTAAACCTTTTCTCGGAAACACACATACACACACACTGCCCTGACCGTCGGCTGACACATGTGAAATGCAAATAAAAATAAATACATTTTTCATATATATAGTGAATGTATTATCTCGGCAGTGTCCGAAAAGAAATAAAAATGACACTTGAGTGTACTTTCATTGTATTGTATATATTTTTTGAAAATAACCATTTTAAAAATAAATTTACAGAGACTTTAATTTAATTAAAATTGTCATATTTTCAAAATAATAAAGGTCCCAGTGAATTGTGAGGAATTAAATGTTATGGCTGTGTTTGATATTAGATTTTTAAATAAAATGGGATACATTGTGTAGTCAATTGTTTCAGGTATCTTTTTCTCTTAGTTTCATGAGAGTTTGCAAGAATAATTCTAGATTCTAGCCCATCAAGATTGTGTAAAACTCAGAGAAGAATCTCTGGGTTTGCTTAATTGAAAAGAAAGCAATGACTTTATCCCTTACAAGAGATAGGGACCTTTTATATGTATCTATGCATGAGAGCACAATAAAAAGCAAACTATGCAGAAAATAACAGATACATTCTAACAAGCAATTGGAAAAGCATGTATTATAAGATTCCTTGCAGAAAAGTCTGAAAATCAAAGTGTTTTTTTTTTAAATGCATTGATAAAAAGGGGTTTCTTGTGTGAGTGAGATTTCTTGAATGATCAGAATGTTGGAAAGGCAGCATACCGGTACTTATTTTCTATCTATAAACAATAGTTTACCTCCTTTTTAGAGTACAGCTAGTTGAAAATTCAACGTGGGTTTTCAGGATTTTTTTTTCCTCAAAAAAAAAAAAATCTAAATTTTCAGCTGACTATTTTGGTGAACATTTATGGTGGACTTTTTTTCTTCTCTATTTTACAATATATTTGACAAATTAATGTCAAATTAATGTCGTGCTTAGCTGAAAAAGTATGAATTCTGCATGGCTGCAGATCAGATTTCTGAATTTGTGCATGTTTGATTGGATTTCTGGAAAATTTATCCTTCCCTTTAACATCTATTTCCAAATAGAGAATCTGATGAGCCTTGTAAAAAAGATAAACAAAATGCTGTCCCAGATATAAGTGATGAAAGTATCCCAAAGTATGTATTTTATTAGAATATTTAGAAAGATGTGTTGGAATAAAATAGAAATACTCATCTCTGACAACTGATCAGGACTTAAGTTTGTAGTTAAGAAGAGTCAGAGCACCACCTACTGCATGAAATGGAATTATTAAATAGAGGCCAATGTTAATAGGAATATGTCAACTTAAAAACATTTAATAGAAATAAATACAATGGGCCAGTTTCTGAGCTTGTGTAAACTGAGAAGTCATTTTATTGAAGTCAACGGAACTGCACTTATTTACATGAGATCATCTGAGAGAGAAGACAGGGCTCTAGGCACACCAGCTCAATAAAGAATAAAATACCCCTTGCAAAAAGGAAATTGTTAGTTTCCAAGGCATAGAATTTATATGGAATGTGATGCAATTAGTTGTGCATTCTTATCTTTGGATAAGATACATCCCGGAATGGTGTGCTTTAGCTGAAGGAACAACAGACAGTGAAGATGGAGAAATGAAGAGTGACCTACTGGTCCTATTGAAGTCAATGGTAAAATTCCCATTGATTTCACTGTAGCTAGAGATTCACTCTAGATAGCTGCTAACATGGATCAAGTTAGTTTCATAACTCATGTACTACCACTTACGCTGTGTCCCTTACATGTATTTAATGTGTATAAAACCTTTGTACAAACCTGTTAAACACCCAAAACCTGATTCACCTCAGCACTAACCCAGCTGTATAAAGTTGTAACTCCACTGAGCTAGATTCACTAGTGTGATTGGATTGCTGAGTGGCACAAAGCAGCCAAAGCACATTGTGGAAGAAAACAAGCCTTCACTCTGCATTGTGTTTAAGCAACAAGTAGCCAGAGGCAGTTTATTCGAGCAATATTGCAAGGGAAGACATCCATAAGTGGATCTTCAAATACAAAACAATTAAAAGCCAATATATATACCTTTCTGTTACATATAACATTA